ACAGTCCACATGCACTAAGCATTTCTTTTTGTAGAGTGAACTAGTTAAATAAAAATTCACATTAAAAGTCTCTCTGCAGCTGTGCCCCCCCCCCCCCCCCCCAAATAAAATTAATACAATTTACATAATGATTACAATTTACATTAGCATTATTGCAGAAGTGTTTTGTTGTTGCTAATAATAATGACATTAAAGTTATTATTGGTGTTATGGTCATTTTTGTCATTGTTGTTAGGGTTATAAATACTGCTACATTTATTTTTTTTAAGTGCGAAGGTCTGAGATTAATGTAAAGTAACAAGTTGGCAGAAGCTTTTTGTGTGAACTTGCAGTTTTGCTCACAAAACAAATCTTTTTTATTTAGGTGAATTAAACGTGTTAAATCACGTGTTATTTCAAGTTGCATTTTCTACAGTGTTAAGCCACGAACCTTCTATATAGATATCAGAGAGTACTTTTAACTCTACATACCAGCACATTAAATGGCACCATTAAGGTCACCAATTAAACGTAATGACATTTGTTCAAACTTTTTTTTTTTTTAAATGAATTTGCTCTTTTTTATTATCTATATGTGGCCATGCAGATGTTTCCCTGGTTTGTTGTCTTTACATATGATGCCACTAAATGTGATAGATTACAGGGCCATCAAACTAAAGTTAAGTCTTTATTTATCACAAGGCAGTCATTCCTTTTTCTCACAAATTGCCATTCCATTCCCTTCTGTGCCCTACATGCAGAGCTTACCTTTGAGCCCAGAGGGAAGTTTCTCCCAAAGCTTTTTCTCATTTTGAAGGGGAAATAGAGAAGTGCAGAACTGAAGAGGGAATTTCCTGTGTTGATTTGTAGGCCGTTCACTGAAAAACAAGTCAGCATAATATATTTAATGAAATGCAAAATGTTTTTATTTGTTTGTTTTTGTTTTGTTTTGTAGTGACAAAAGTTACCATCATGTTTGTACAAAAATCTTTTTACTTATTGAATAGATACCAATCAACTTATAACTGACTGTAAAATAACAGTATTCCATATCTTGTGATTGACATATTTCTTTCATTAATTTATAGAGAAAAAAACCATAAAGTATTGGACTTCATTCTGTCTGTCATGGTCTTTACATTGTCTTTTTAATTTAAGGTGGATCTTGTTCTCCTGCCAGACATATGCAAGGTCTTTACTTTACATTTCCTGTGGCTTAAGGCATTTATAACAAAACAAAAATGCCACAGAGCTTTTGTTGCTATGGCTGATTTGTTGTTATATTCACAGAGAAGCATGACTTCATTTTCCACTACCAGAGAAAGACGCAATATTACAGAGGAGACAACCACCGTTTCCTGACTGACCCACATAACGCAAACATGTCTGCTACAGTATGTGCTGTAACTGTTGCATGCTGCATAACTTTACCAGTTTTAAACATGTATGTATAAATAAATGGCTCTATTTAGAAGTTGTATCACCTAATCGCTGTTTACATTTTGTTGTTAAGATAAAAGTAATTTTATAATGATACCTTTTGTTGTTAGTGTACACTTTAACCCATTCAGACCCAAATTATGTTTCAAGTTTCTTAAGGCTCTTATAATTGAGACCAAATTATAATAATAAAAATTCAGCACCCTTTAAGTATATATATTTTTTGTCCATTTTAATGGACATCAGGTGAGAACAGTTGTACTTCTCGAACATTATACCAACATACAGATTGCATCTTGTTTATAACAAACTTTATCTTCATCTTCCACATCATTTCACATGGTGTCCACATCTGAGATATTTATGTCTGTCTGGAGGGAAGTGATGTCATTCTGCTTTTTTGTGTAATGGATTTTTTTTTTCCAAATTACAACATGCCAAGCCTTACTGCCATTTGATTGGATGTCAATCATCCATTCTTATGGACTGCAGGCTTTAAATTAAATTAAATGTTTAGAAACTAAAAAAAAAAAAAAAAAAAAAAACATGGGTTGACATGTGATATCCATTTTGATGGACACAATGTCTGAAGGGGTGTGTCAAACCATATAGTTATATTGAAATAAATAAAAAAAGAGACTTGGAACTTTCATTTTTCTGGTTGAAAAGGGTTATTCTAAATGTAGATTTTTAAATAGACTTTACAATCATAAACCATTGTACGTTATACACAGCCTTCAAGAAAATGTACACAGCCTTCATAAAAATATGAAAATAGATAATTTTTTAAATTGTGGGTTGATTTCAGAAAAAGTCAACAAACTTTAAGATAATTTAAGACTTTAATAATATTAAATTTTTATAATAATTTAAATAAAAAACTTTAAATTAACTTTAAGACTATTAAAAGCAACCTGTACATTTATTCATTTATTGTAAATCTCTGCTCATAGCTAATACAACCTGTATATAATGTTCATAGTACATCCATAAATATCATTATAGCTTATAACTGCACTTTATAACTTATACCTGTATCCTGCACTTGCTGCAATTGCACTGTTGGTTAGACCTAAACTAAAGCATTTGTTATATGAGTCAATGTAAATGTATATCTATATGTTAGAGGCACATGCATAACCTGACGGGTCATTTTTATGGCCATACAGTCATTGTTAACCTGCAACTTTACCATTATGATATTATTTATGAATAATCATGCTATCTGATGTTTCTTTATGTAATGTACCCATGCAGTGGATCACATATGCAGATACATGATGGTCTTTTTTAATGCAAATTGACCAATACCACATGTCTTTGGTGGAAATCTAAAGCAGACACAGGGAGAAATACAAAACTTCGGACAGAAAGGTCTCCTGGTCCACCCGGGAATCGAAGCAGCAACCTTCTCACTGCCGGTAACTGTTCTAACTATCTGCTCTTACTTAATTTAACACAGTTTGAAAAGTCTAGTGAGATCAATATTTTATTATCTGTTTACTTATGTATAAACATAAAGCAGCTTTGTTTTAAAAATGACGTATGTGTGATATTTTTATACTGTTTAAATGTTTATAGAATTAAAGGGATAGTTCATTCCAGCAATGAAATCACTATTTAGTCACTTTTACTTGCCCTCTAGCAGTTCTCAACCTTTTTGGGTTTCTTTATTTTGTTGTACACTAAAGATTATATTTTGAAGAAAGCTTAGAACCTGTAACTATTGACTTCCATAGTAGGAAAAATAACTTTCAAAAATAACTTTGCAGTATCATCTGGTGACATTGTTAACAAGCTGTAGTAGGGAAAAAAGTACACATTTGAAGCTAATGGGTCCAGTAGGTATCTCAAAGATATATACAGTATTGCCCCAAAAGTACCTCCTGAAGGTAATTAATTCATTAATTCATTTTCTTTTCGGCTTAGTCCCTTTATTAATCTGGGGTCACCACAGCAGGATGAACCGCCAACTTATCCAGCACGTTTTATGCAGCGGATGCCTGTCACGGTTGTGGATCCATCTGCTCCTTATTTGAAGTGTCTGCGTTGTGTGACAGTTCAGTATCATGATGCGTGTTTAAGTATGTGTGCTTTTTCTCTCTGTGTTTGTGTGGGTGTCGCGTGGCTGTTTGTTTTCATGTCATCAGCTGAGCGGTCACATGATCTTTTGTTACCGGAACTGTTGCGTAGCGCGCTCGGCTGATAATCAGCGCGCTACAGGTGTAGCGCATTTTATGTGCCTATAAATGATCAGCGTTCCTGTCTCACTTTGTCAGTTCGTTGTTTGTTCACGGTGTTTTGTGTTTTTGTCAGGCTCCTCCCGTTGAGATCGCTGGTGGTGAGTGGTTTGGTTGATTCCTTGTTGCTGTCTCTGATGAGCCCTCTTCCTACTACGCTGAGTGTTTGATCTGCTCTGTTGATGAGTTCATCGGAGACATTGCTGTTTCTCTACGACGAATGTTTGATCTACTCTGTTGATGAGTTTATGAACATTTATCCGGTGTTGCCGAGACGGACCATCTCTTTAATTACTACTACAGTTTCCTCACTTCCAACCACTCACCATTTTCCCTGTTTTGCTTAAGTCAAGCAATAAAGACTTTTTTACTTGCATTTGGGTTCCACGTCTTGTTGTTTACTGTCACAGAACGAACTGACCAAACATGGACCCAGCAAGTGCGGCGGAGATACAGGATGTGCTGTCACGCAGTGTCGCCCGGATGGACCACCAGGAGCATCAAATGAAGGTGACCAGTCAGGCTATACAAGCACTGGTAAATCAGGTGTCCGAGCTGACAACACAAGTCCAGAGACTCAGCTCAGGTCTCAGCGCCGGTTTCACTCTACCGGCTCCCTCCGTTGAACCACCAGTCACTCCGGTTGTCAATGAGATTCCCCGAACCGCCGAACCGCGACTGCCTCCACCACAGTCCTATGCAGGTGAACCCCAACTTTGCAGAGCGTTTATCGCCAAGTGTTCTCTATACATCTCACTACAACCATCGTCTTTTTCCACTGAGGAGAGCAAGGTGGCGTTTTTAATCAACCTTTTGACTGGCAAGGCGGCATTATGGGGAACCACGGCGTGGGAGAAGAAACTGCCCTGCTGTCAAACATTCAAGTCCTTTACAGAGGAGCTCAAGATCGTTTTCGATCAGTCCGCTTCAGGAAGAGAGGCATCTAGACGTCTCGCGGAGCTCCGTCAGGGAGATCACACGGTGGCGGAGTATTCTATCGATTTCCGCACCCTGGCGGCTGAGTGTGGTTGGAACAGTGAAGCTCAGTGGGACATGTTCTTTCACGGACTCGCGGATCATATACAAGATGAGATTTACGCTTTGGAGCTACCTAAGACGTTGGACGCTCTCATCAGCCTGGCCATAAGGGTGGACATCCGTTTGCAGCGCAGAGGTATGCACAGGGAGTTTCGCTCACAGACCTGTTTTCCAGAGGCTTCACCCCCCGATCCGGAACCCGAGCCCATGCAGGTGGGAAGGTTCCGCCTCTCATCGGAGGAGAGACGACGCCGTCGAACGGGGGGCTTGTGCATGTACTGCGGGGTTGCTGGTCATTATTGGGCTTTATGTCCGGCCAAGAACAATAAATCATCCGCTGGTAAGAGTCTTTTGGTGGGTGAGGTCATGACAGGGAAGGACTCTCCCGATTCCACTTTCCTACCCATTAAATTGGAATTCAATTCGAACTTGCATCCCTGTCATGCGCTCATTGATTCAGGAGCGGAGGGGAGTTTTATTGACTCTGATTTAGCTAAGAAGTTAAAAATTCCCTGTTTTCCCCTTTCTTCACCCATAGCTGTTCACGCACTTAGCGGTCTACCTCTCCCAACTATCACACATATTACAGCTCCTATTAGGCTCATTACTTCAGGAAACCACACTGAGACTATTACTTTCTTTCTCACTAACACTGTCAAAAATCCTGTTATTCTGGGACACCCGTGGTTGGTGTTACACAAGCCTCACATTAATTGGGGTCACAACACAGTTTTTTCCTGGAGTGAGAGCTGTCATAAGTCTTGTTTTTTGTCTGCCTGTTCCACTGTGTCTTGTTCTGTGTTTCAGGAGGAGCAGGTGGATCTGTCAAACGTGCCTCGTGAGTACCACGACCTGAAGAGCGTGTTCAGTAAGTCCCGGGCTGCTTCTCTACCTCCTCATCGTCCCTATGACTGTGCTATAGACTTATTGCCAGGTACGTCTCCGCCTAAAGGCAAGTTGTATTCGCTGTCTGTTCCAGAGAGGGAGGCCATGGAGAAATATATTTCTGATTCTCTAGCAGCCAAGATCATCCGCCCGTCTTCTTCACCGGCGGGGGCGGGATTTTTTTTTGTGAAAAAGAAGGATGGTTCCCTTCGTCCGTGCATAGACTATCGAGGGCTGAACAGCATCACGGTTAAGAATACTTACCCTTTGCCACTGATGTCTTCAGCCTTCGAGCGCCTGCAGGGGGCGAACTTTTTCACAAAATTAGATCTTCGCAATGCTTATCATTTGGTTCGCATAAGACCCGGGGATGAGTGGAAAACCGCGTTTAACACCCCTAGAGGGCATTTTGAGTACTGCGTTCTGCCCTTCGGCCTTTCCAACGCTCCAGCTGTTTTCCAGGCACTCGTCAATGACGTGTTGAGAGACATGATAGATCAGTTTATTTATGTCTACCTGGATGACATTCTGATTTTTTCTCACTCTCTCGAGGAACATATTCAACATGTCAGGCGAGTGTTGCAGAGGTTACTAGAGAATGGGCTTTATGTCAAGGCGGAGAAATGCGTTTTTCATGCACAGTCGGTTCAGTTCTTGGGACATATCGTGTCAGTCGAGGGGATGCGTATGGATCCAGAGAAGATTCAGGCTGTGGTAGATTGGCCAACCCCAGATTCCCGTAAGGCCCTGCAGAGGTTTCTGGGTTTTGCCAATTTTTACCGGCGTTTTATTCGCAATTTCAGCCAGCTCGCCGTGCCTCTGACTTCCTTGACCTCCTCCAAGACGCCGTTCAGGTGGACCAGCGCAGCCGAAGCTGCCTTTTCCAAACTAAAAAGCTGCTTCGTTTCAGCTCCGATACTCATTGCCCCTGATCCTTCCCGGCAGTTTGTGGTGGAGGTCGATGCGTCGGAGGTGGGGGTCGGCGCCATTCTGTCCCAGCGCTCCGCCTCGGATGGCAAGGTCCATCCTTGCGCGTATTTTTCTCATCGATTATCTCTTGCTGAAAGAAACTACGACATTGGTAATCGAGAGTTGTTGGCCGTCAAGCTTGCTTTGGAGGAGTGGCGTCACTGGTTAGAAGGCTCGGGGGTGCCTTTTATCGTCTGGACCGATCATAAAAATCTTGAATATATTAGATCCGCTAAAAGATTGAACTCCAGGCAGGCTCGGTGGGCATTATTTTTCGGACGGTTTAATTTTACCATCTCGTATAGACCAGGTTCCAAGAACATCAAACCTGATGCGTTGTCACGTCTTTTCGATCCTTCGGATCACAAGTCATCTCCTGATCCTGTGCTCCCTCAGAACATCATCGTAGCGAACATTTCCTGGGAGATTGAGTCGAGGGTCCGTGCAGCCCTGGATGGGGTAACGCCCCCGATCGGATGCCCACCGAGTTGTTTGTTCGTGCCAGAGGGATTACGGTCCGACGTTGTCCGGTGGGGTCATTCCTCCAAGGTAGCTTGTCATTCAGGGGTGAGTCGCACATTATTTGTTATCAAACAACGATTTTGGTGGCCAGCTATGGCTCGTGATGTGCGCGATTTTGTTTTGGCTTGCTCTGTCTGTGCAGTTTCCAAGTCTTCCAATCGTCCCCCTGCTGGACTCCTCCAACCGCTGTCAGTGCCTTCGAGACCCTGGTCACACATCTCGCTAGATTTTGTTACGGGTCTTCCATCCTCTAACGGTAATACGGTAGTTTTAACCGTGGTGGACAGGTTCTCGAAGGCTGCTCATTTTATTTCTCTGCCCAAATTACCATCAGCCAGAGAGACAGCCGTTGCTGTCATTGACCATGTTTTTCGCATACATGGCCTCCCGAGGGATGTGGTCTCTGACAGGGGCCCACAGTTCGTCTCTAAATTCTGGAGAGAATTCTGTCGTTTATTGGGGGCCACTGTTAGTCTTTCTTCTGGTTTTCATCCCCAGAGTAACGGCCAGACTGAGAGAGCCAATCAAGATCTTGAGCGTACATTGCGATGTTTGGTCTCGCAGAATCCTTCCTCCTGGAGCCAACAACTTTCGTGGGTGGAGTACGCACATAATTCGTTACCAGTGTCTGCCACGGGCCTTTCTCCGTTTCAGTGTAGTCTAGGTTACCAGCCACCAGTTTTTCCCAGTCTGGAATCCGAAGTTGCGGTTCCCTCCGCTCACGCCTTTGTCCAGAGGTGCCGCCGCACTTGGAATAGGGCCAGACAGACCCTCCTCCAAGTGGGGAAGCGCACCAAGGCTAAAGCTGATCGCCACCGGTCTAAGCCTCCCGTTTACGTTGTCGGTCAAAAAGTGTGGCTTTCTACTAAGAACATTCCGCTCCGCACCGTCTGTAATAAGTTAGCTCCTAAATTTATCGGCCCTTTTATTGTCACTAGAATCATTAGTCCTGTGGCAATCCGCCTCAAATTACCTCCAGCGTACAGGAGAATTCATCCCGTGTTCCATGTATCCAAAGTAAAGCCCGTTTTTCATACGGCAATTAATCCGCACACCCCAGTTCCCCCCCCGCCGCGTCTCGTAGATGGGGAGACTGCCTATTCGGTTAAGCGCATTCTGGACTCTAGACGGAGGGGACGAGGATTTCAGTACTTGGTGGACTGGGAAGGTTACGGTCCGGAGGAGAGAAGTTGGGTTCCGGCCGGGGACATACTGGACCACTCTCTTATCGAGGATTACAATCGCCAGGTAGGCTCGTCTGGGGACGCCAGGAGGCGTCCCTAGGGGAGAGGGTAATGTCACGGTTGTGGATCCATCTGCTCCTTATTTGAAGTGTCTGCGTTGTGTGACAGTTCAGTATCATGATGCGTGTTTAAGTATGTGTGCTTTTTCTCTCTGTGTTTGTGTGGGTGTCGCGTGGCTGTTTGTTTTCATGTCATCAGCTGAGCGGTCACATGATCTTTTGTTACCGGAACTGTTGCGTAGCGCGCTCGGCTGATAATCAGCGCGCTACAGGTGTAGCGCATTTTATGTGCCTATAAATGATCAGCGTTCCTGTCTCACTTTGTCAGTTCGTTGTTTGTTCACGGTGTTTTGTGTTTTTGTCAGGCTCCTCCCGTTGAGATCGCTGGTGGTGAGTGGTTTGGTTGATTCCTTGTTGCTGTCTCTGATGAGCCCTCTTCCTACTACGCTGAGTGTTTGATCTGCTCTGTTGATGAGTTCATCGGAGACATTGCTGTTTCTCTACGACGAATGTTTGATCTACTCTGTTGATGAGTTTATGAACATTTATCCGGCGTTGCCGAGACGGACCATCTCTTTAATTACTACTACAGTTTCCTCACTTCCAACCACTCACCATTTTCCCTGTTTTGCTTAAGTCAAGCAATAAAGACTTTTTTACTTGCATTTGGGTTCCACGTCTTGTTGTTTACTGTCACAATGCCCTTCCAGCTGCAACCCATCTCTGGAAAACTTGAGTGTTAATATTATTCTTATTATTATTATTTGGTATAAAATGTACTCACATGCACTCTTATGTAAAATTTCAATCCTTTTGAAAAGGTGCTGCACCAAAATATTTTGTACCGTACAAGTCAAAGCCACCAGAAACTGCACCGTAAGCTACAACTTTTGGACAGTTCTTCTATCTTATTTTTATATGACTAAACAAAGCAGCTCGGTTTACAAAAATTGAAGGCATACAGCCATATAATTAGAGCCTTCAACTCTCTGGAATCTGTCAGTTTAGATTTTTTTAAGAAGATATAAAGTTTAATTTGACAGCAGTAACCATGAGACATAAGACAATGGCATAATGGGATCTTTAATGTAAAATGGCTTGTGAAGGACTTCTTTAGGTCAAATAGCTTGTGCCAAAGCTCTAAGTCAAGGGGAACACATTAAAACATCAAACTGTTCTGTGAGAGTCCAGTTGATGGTAATGAAAAGACCAAATAATGGTTGTTTACTCTTACTTTGACAATAATTTGAAACGTCTTGAGACCAGTTTACACCTGGTATTAACATGCTTTTCCAGTGGTCAGATCAGATTCAGTACTGAATCTTTTAAGACATCTGTCTTTTTAATTTCATCTAGATCTTTTGCTTTAATTTTATATTCTTAGGACAAAAAAAGAGATTGGTGACCCCTGATCTAGTCAGTGATGATGTCCTTCAGCTGTGTGTGTGTGTGTGTAATCAAAGTTCATGAACTTCAGGTGTGAGGTGCTGTTAGTTGTGGTACATGTAGTACGGGAAAGTGGCTGATATGAGAAATAGAGTGCCCTCAGAATGTCTGGGGGGCACTCTAAAAAATTACCATGACAAAATTGTTTTAAACACTACCAAAGTACTAAGAAAAAAAGTTCAGCTTGTAACTATAACGGAAACATTTTGGCCCTAAATATAACCTTTTTCATACGGTTTAATAAAGATGTCCTTCCAGCAGGAACCCAGTACCATGCTGGGAAACACCCATACACTCTCTCATTTACACACACACATGCACTTATACCCTACGGCCACTTTCAATTCACCTATAAAACAGAGGGAGAATATGAAATGCTAACTGGCTCATACTCAAAAAATAACATTTGCTGTTTGTTCACAATACTTATTATAATTGAGCTAAACCAACACAATTTTTGTGTTGGGGGTAGACAACAATAACATCATTTCCATTTTTATGTGAATTAACTCTTACCAGCAACATTCATTAATTCATTCATTTTCTTTTCGGCTTAGTCTCTTTATTATACAGGAGTTGCCACAGCAGAATGAACAGCCAACTAATCTAGTTTTAGGCAGCGGATGTCCTTCTAGCCACAACCCAACACTGGGAAACACCCATACACTCTTGTATGCACACACATACACTACAGCCAATTTAGTTTATTCAATTCATATATATATATATATATATATATATATATATATATATATATATATATATATATATATATATATATATATATATATATATATGATATAACTCATGTCTTTGGACCGTGGTGAATACCGGAGCACCCGGAGGAAACCCACATAAACAAGGGGAGAACATGCAAACTCCACACAGAAATGCCAACTAACCCAGCCAGGACTTCAACCAGCGACCTTCTTGCTTTGAGGTTATTGTGCTACCCACTGCGCCACTGTGATGCCCAGCCAGCAACATATACAGCATATTAATGTATTCTGTGAGTACAATTGTCTCAGTGACCTTAGCGCCTTCTTTGTTTTTTGTGCCATGTCTTTACTAGGGGGCTACATGGTGGTTTGGTGGTTAGCATGGTCACCTCACCACAAGAAGGTTGCTGGTTCGAGTTCCGGCTGGGTCAGTTGTAATTTCTTTGTAGAGTTTGCATGTTCTCCCAGTGTTGGCGTTGGTTTCCTTCCTCTGATTTCCCCCACAAGTCCAAAGACATGCAGTATAAGTGAACTAAATAAACTAAATTGGTCGTAGTGTATGTGAATGAGTGTGTGTGGGAGTTTCCCAGTATAGGTTGCGGCTGGAAGGGCATCTGCTGTGTAAAATTTCGCTGTGGAGACCCCTGATGAATAAAGGGACTAAGCTGAAGGAAATTGAATGAATGAATGAATGTTTGTACCAGATGACTTTATTCCTTACAAAATGAGCAACAGTCAAGGTATTAAAACCAGGCATCCAGCATCCGTCAACATCTGTCTCACACCTCTGAGTGTTTGGAGAATATGTGTCTAATGATGTTATGGTGGTTTTGGAACAAGGAAGTTGCTAAGGTTTGTGAGCTCAACAGCCACATGCATCAAATACCCAGTAATTCAGCTCAGTTTAATACTTTGGCAACAAGAAATGACTAGGCATCAAGCCTCCAGCATTTGTGCCTCTGGTACTGAGAAACTTTCCATGTGGATCAAACAGGAAGCCACATGATGACCATTAGCATTGTATGTAAGCTAACATACAGGCATTGGTGTATCCCAGATTTTTCCTTAATGTGTTTTTTAATTTATTATTTAATGTGTAATGTGAGGTCCATCTTCATATAAGCAGCCCATACAGTAAAATCAGGAAAACTGGAGAAGAAATCTGACTTGATGCATGTTTGTTTACAGTGAGCTTGGAATGAATGTTAATTGTAGGGTCCAATATAGTGCACTGACTGTCCTGAGCACATGCCTTTCTTTAGTGCTGTAGATCTGCCAGTGGAAAGCACAATAAACATGAAGACTGTTTTATCATAATTTGACTTATTAATAGAAAAGATGACAGTTGGTGTTGTTTTTATATTTGCAATTTGTTAACAACATAATGCACTATAAGCCAAATCTGTCTGTGTCTACATTCTGCATATTCATTCAATAATACTACAGTAATATTGCTTTTATTTATTTTTTGCAGAAATTTCATATCCTGTTTATTGTTATTTGGTGGAACAGGGATCTTCTGGTTTTTATGGTTGGTGGAGAATTCATCCTCCACCAATCCCATCATTCCTATTCTCCAGGCTGTGTGTGTGGAAAAGTGCAGTCCTCCAAGCTAAACACATGGTTAGTGAAAAACCCGGGATCTTCACACAGAACTGCCTGAAAGAGGGTTTCCTGAATGAGGGGAAATTTACAGAACACGCTCCAAACTCATTCGCTGCGTGGCAAAGATGATGGGGGGAGAGAGAGAGAGAGAGAGAGAGAGAGAGAGAGAGAGAGAGAGAGAGAGAGAGAGAGAGAAAGAGAGTGAGAGAGAGATAGAGATAGAGATAGAGAGAGGGGGGAGGTGGATGGAGAACGAGACATTATTCATAAGCTGATAGTAGTCTAAAATAAACCATTTTCCATTGCCTCTGTGTGCTGTGTGTATAAATGCATTCAGTGTCCACAGGGTCCTGTGGTGACTGTTAGGGTACTTACTGGCTGAGAATATCAGAATGACTACTGATTTATTGTAGTTGAACAGCAGTTAGGTTATTAATATTAGTTCAATTTTGGAGCAAACTTGCTATCTGTTAGACTGTAACCACTTTCTCTAAAGATTGAAATATTATAGACTTTATTAATATTATTAAGTAGTTCACAGAATTAACAGTTTACACAATAAAAAAAATGTGTAACCTTTGCCTCAGCCCCACAATTTTTTTTAGACCTAGCTTTATTTTTTTTTAGTTTTAGCCATTAAACTTTAAATTATTACATTTCAGTCATTTAATTGCCCTGTACACCCATCTATCCACCACTTCTTTCTTTCATCCATTCATCCATCCATCCATCCATCCATCCATCCATCCATCCATCCATCCATCCATCAATCCACCCGTCCATCTATCAATTTTGGAACAAAGGGATCTAATATATGAAATACATATGCTTAAGTAACTGCTCTGCAAACAACAACAACAAAAATAAATAAAATAAATCTACTCTACGCAATCAATAAATTTTTCTAAAATACAAACCAATATGTGTTATCTGGAAGCACTGTATTCGAAACATCTAGTAAATATTGCATGTACAGTAGGTACTCAGGTAAATCAGGTAATCAGATCCAAAACTTAAACTAATAGCTTCTTAATTTATTTTTTTGTTCCAATTTGTTTTAAAGACACTCGTTGTTTTTAGCAACATAACTGGCCACTTTATTCGGTACACCTTAGTACATAAATTTTGCCCTCAGAACTGCTTTAATCCTTCATGGCTTAGATTAAACAAGATACTAGATTTATTCCTCTGAGATTTTGGTCCATATTGACATGATAGCATCAAACAGTTCATGCAGATTTGTTGGCTGCACATCCATGATGCGAATCTTTCATTCCACCACAACCCAAAGGTGCTCTATGGGATTGACATCTGTTAACTGTGGAGGCAATTTGAGTACAGTGAACTCATTGTCATGTTCAAGAAACCAATCTGAAATGATTTATGCTTTTATGACATGGTACGTTATCCTGCTGGAAGTAGCCATCAGAAGATTGGTAAATTGTGGTCATAAAGGGTTGGACAAGGTCAGCAACAATACTCAGGTAAGAAAATATCCCCCACACATTAGAACAACACCAGCAGCCTGAACCATTGATACAAGCTAGGATGGATCCATGGTTTCATGTTGTTGATGCCAAATTCTGACCCTTCCATCCGAATGTTGCAGCAGAAATTGAGACTCATTAGGCCAGGCAACGTTTTTACAGTCTTCTATTATCCAATTTTGGTTAGCCTGTACTAATTGCAGCCTAAGTTTCCTGGTTTTAGCTGACAGCAGTGGGACCCATGGGCTCTTTTGCTGTTGTAGCCCATCTGCCTCAAGGTTGGACATGTTGTACATGGACCTCAGTTGCAGTAAGTGGTTTTTTGAGTTACTGTTACTGTTCTATTAGCTCAAACCAGTCTGGCCATTCTCTTCTGACCTCTGGCATTAACAAGGCATTTGTGCCCACAGAACCTCCGCTCACTGGATATTTTCTCTTTTTCAGAACATTCTCATCAAACCCTAGAGATGGTTGTGCGTTAAAAAAACAATGGATCAGCAGTTTCTGAAATACTCAGACCAACCTGTCTGGCATCAACAACCATGCCACGATCAAAGTCACTTGAATCACCTTTCTACCCTATTCTGATGGTCGGTTTGAACTACAGCAGATCTTATTGACCATGTCTACATGCCTAAATGCATTGAGTTGCTGCCATGTGATTGGCTGATTAGTAATTTGTGTTAAAGAGCAGTTGGACAGGTGTACCTAATTAAGTGGCTAGTGAGTGTATGAGTTACAGTATAACCCATAATTGAAATGAGAATTACTGGTCACACTTTATTTTGATAGTCCGTTTGTTGAATTTAACTTACATTGAATCTACATGCCAACTAATTCTCATTAGATTATAAATAGACTGTTAGGGCTGGTTTTAGGGGTAGGTTTAATGTAAGTTGGCATGTACTTGCAAAGTTTCTTATAGTCAGTTAATTGTCTGTTGAATGTCTGTATCAACAGATATTAAGCAGAGATTCTAATACTCAAATGGACCATCAAAATAAAGTGTTATTGAATTGTTGCACTGCGGATCTTGTGTTTGAAAAAAAAAAACAATCACTTTAAAGCATCAGCCTCATGAACAACAATGCCTGCAGCTGGGGTCTTTTGTAAACCATTTCACTTTTATTAGGCAGATTAAAGAGAAGATGGTGTTCCTAAAGTTCCTCTGTGTATAGCAAAGATTTTTTAAACAAAATTACTTTGTTGCTTTTATGTCCACCAGACTACCTTATGAACCACTATCTCCTGTCCTGGTACTGTCTGACCTTGACAGTTTGGTACTGTTTATTTCAATAAAAGACAAAAGTCTATTTCTGTTCTATGAGCTCATGCAAATTTACTTCAAGAAAAACAAGAAGGAAAATGACGTCCTCCACAATTGAATTTAGAAATAATCCCGAAGTTGCTGACATTAGTTTAATATGATTTGATATTAATAATATATCATACAATTTTAAATATTTTATACTTAATTAAGACTCGCAAGTTATTTACTATTTAAGATATAAGAACAAATATTTTTTAGTTTGAATAAAATTTGGTTTTTGAAATAGCTGATACATTGCAAATAAAGTCACAATAAAACAGAATTTGCAGTTGATGGTTGTTTTCACAGTAAAAAAAAGTTGCTGGGCTTGATCTGCATTCTGTCCTTATGTCAAACATGATCTGGTCATCATCCTACACTGTAAAAATGTTGACCTATTATGCCCCTTTTTACAAGATTTACAATAAGTCTCTGATGTCCCTAGATTGTTTATGGAAAGTTTCAGCTCAAAATACCACACAAATGAAATTTTATAATAACACTGAAACTGTCCCTTTGAAACTTAAGACTTTAATCCCAATTGTGCTGCTTTGGTGACTGTCACTTTAAATTTAAATGCGATTGTGCTCTTTTCAAAAGAACACAGAGCTACAAATGTGTGCCAGCATAGTGGCAGATTCAAAAATAAGACTAACATTCTATGCTAATGAGGAAGAGATCATCATGTCAAATGCAGTACTTTTGTTAAACATTGAGTCAACTAAAAACTGTGCAGCAAGTTGCCTTACAATTGTAAAAGAAGGCACCTGTTCAGTAAAAAATGATATACTGTAGGTTATGACATATTAAATTGTTTTTTTTTTATTAAAATATTTGCTTTCTTCTTTAAAATTTGTGTTGTGTTATCTACAGTATGTGGTGTGGGATTGTAGATGGAGGTTTTCTGACCTCAAATTCCCATAGCTGCTGCTGTTTGGCCACTTGAACCATCCTCCTAACTCTGCATGTAGACAAGCTGGACATACATTACGTAATTTTTGCAGACTTACAATTTTAACACTTCTTGTTGATTATAATTTCTTAAATAATGCACTGATAGTGGAAACATATATATATATTTTTTTTAGCATTTTTACTCTTACAAATACCTTTTCTTGTCTCTAGACAGCCATACTAAAAAGACAAATATGAGACTTTTAAAAATATGCATATTAATATAGCCTAGGGAGGGCGAAGCAGTGGCGCAGTATGTAGTGTTGTTGCCTCACAGCAAGAAGGTCGCTGGGACACTGGTTCAAGCATCGGCTCTGTTGGCGTTTCTGTGAAGAGTTTGCATGTTCTCCCTGCGTTCATGTGGGTTTCCTTCAGGTGCTGCAGTTTCCCCACAGCCCAATGACATATGGTACAGGTGAATTGGGTATGCTGAATTTTCCGTAGTGTATGAGTGTGTGTGTGGATGTTTCCCAGGGATGGGTTGCGGCTGGAAGGGCATCTGCTGTGTAAAAACTTGCTGGATAAGTTGGCGGTTCATTCCACTTTGGTGACCCCGGATTAATGAAGGGACTAAGCCGACAAGAAAATGAATGAATAAATATAGTTTAGGGATGGTAATAAATGAAAAAAGAAAAGGTTTTTGTTGCTTTGCTGGCAATTTTTTCAATGACAGTCGATGTTTTGTTTGTATTTTGGCCACTGAAGGTGATTCACTCTAATCAAATCTAATTAAATCTTCTGTCTGCGATGAGCAAGAAGTATGTCATATCTGTCAGACGTTTACATAGCGGTAAACTCCTTACCTAAATAAGATCCATCACCGCTGCCTGTTCTGAAATAGAAACCTCAAGAACCACTCCCTCCTCCTACTGTCTGCCAGACTCAGCATGGAGAGTGAGTTCAGCGGTGTGTGTTCAGTGCGCTGTGCGTCTGCTGCCGTACGCAATCTGCGTTAGCGGAGCGCCGCTCTTCCACTCCAGCATCCCTGCAACTTTTGCCATGAGTTTTCTTCACCCCTTAACGTTTCTGGGTAGGTCATCACTTGATGTAATTGTCTGATTGCATTAATGAAGTTGTTTGCTTGCATGTTTCTGAGCATTTGTGTAAGTTTAATTCCTTCTTCTTCCAAACTGTGCAATTTTTTCGTTGCTGCACATTTGCATCTGCTAACATATTCACTATGAATGCAATGTATGTCTATTTAAAGCTTTATAGTTTGGCTTTATTGATGTGAGGTTCTGTGTCTTCAGCTGTGGCTCTTGTAGCGCGGTCTCAGACGCAGCTTTTGCGGGGCTCCTGCACATTCGAGGCGGACAGCTGCGGCTACACGTCTGATCCTGCTTATGCTGCCTGGACCATCAACGATGAAGGTATGAGAAACTCTCTTATTATTTGGATCCAGACACTTTTATTAGTAGGCTACTAGTTTCGTTGACATTTATGCCACAAAACTGTCAAACTGAACAAATGTGCTTGAATGGTTCCAAAATAATTCACTGCAGGCATCATACGTGCGTCAGACAGTAGGTGGCGCTATCAACTGTGTAGCCTACATTTGCGATTTAGTTAAAGTTGTATTATGGGCTAGAATCCGATTCCCTCTTCGGAATACTTGAAATTTAACCCCCAAAATATAGGCTACTTATGCTCATGTCAAAGCAGTTTCGTCAATCGAATTGTTTAGTCAGTTGACACGGAGGCGTGGTAGGTAGTGCTGTTGTCTCACAGCAAGAAGGTCACTTTTTCAAGCCTTAGCTGGGTCATTTGGCGTTTCTGTGTGGAGTTTGAATGTTCTCCCTGCGTTTGCGTGGGTTTTTTCCAGGTGCTCCGGTTTCCCCCCACAGTCCAAAGACATGTAAGTGAATTGGGTAGGCTAAATTGTCCGTAGTGGATGAGTGTGAATGAGTGTGTATGGATTTCCCAAAGATGGGTTGCAGCTGGAAGGGCATCCAGTGCGTAAAACATATGCTCAATAAGTTGGTGGTTCATTCTGCTGTGGTGACCTTAGATTAATAAAGGGACTAAACTGAAAAGAAAATGAATGATTGAATGAATGAATGAATTGTTTGGTCTTAAATCTATCTAACAAATCTACCTTTTACCAAAACTAAATTGAAGTTGTAAAATAAACCCCAAACAAAATAAATCAATCAATCTATATTACAAATAAAAGTGATGTCTTCACATAAACAAAGATTTTACATGTGCTTTTTCCTTTTTTGTTTGTTCACATCTTTTTCTGTTGGGAGCTAGATCTCTGCCCATTCACTGCAGGCTTGCTTTAGCACTCATTAATAAACAGTTTAATCTGTTTCGTTTAATCAATGAATGTATTAATTTTTTTTATTTAAATAGAGATAAAATAAGTTTATTTCTGCTTTGAAATGGATTCTTACTATTTAAACTGAATCCATCTGCTTTGATCTATAGCACAATCAGCAAAGCAGCAGAGTCTGTTTTTTATATAAAGAAAACATGACTGAAAACAATATATGTTATGAAAACCAAGAGTATAATTGACAAAAATACTTTCTCGTAAAATATGTTTTTGGGATGCTCATTTTGGTTAATTTTGCCAACTGATAACCCCCGCTTGTTACCTGAATATGGTTAACTGGTCAGATTAATATTAAATCATAATTTAATTAGAAAAAAATTAATTGATGTGGGAGAGGCAGTGGCGCAGTAGGTAGTGCTGTCTCCTCACAGCAAAGAGGTCGCTGGGTCGCTGGTTTGAACCTCGGCCCAGTTGGTTTTTCTGGGCTCTATTTTGAGTCCATGCGCAGAGTGCAAAATGCAGGGTGCAAACACACTCAGGGGGTGTCAGAACGCATTTTTGCTAATTTACGGATGGGGAAACCTGCTTTGCGCCAAGGCGCATGGGCTACAAGGGTTGCGTTTATTTTCTTAATGAGTTAAAGGTGTGTTTTGAGAATAAACCAATTAGAGTCTCATCTCCCATTCCCTTTATGACCCAGCTGCATCGGGCCAAGAGCGCATTCGCTATTTACAGGATGCAAAGTAAGTTTAAGTGGAAAAAATGAGTATTTCACAAGCAAACAGTTAACAGTTAACAGTTTTTTAATAGAAAACTGTTAAACAGAGCATCTACTGCATGAGAATGAGAGATAATGGAACTACTTTCACATTCGCTCTTGGATAGGGAAACCTTTATGCACAGATATCAATTAGCCTATAAATAATTAATTTCATTTGTTAAGCGCAAAGATTTGTTTCAAAACTATTTCTAAATTCAGTCCTAATTTCTAGCAAACAAATAAATGAACAATAATTACCAAGTGTGGTCAAAATACTGAGTTATTTCCAAATACACCTGCCATGCCCCATATGGTCTAAAACCTGACAGGTGGGCAAATCTAAGATTGTTTTAATAAAACAAATATACATATACAGTAGATATTATAAATACTACTACTACTAATAATAACATTATACAAAAGAAATTTTTTACGAATGAACTGAAAAAGCCTCCCGAGATGAAAAGACATAAAAGCAGTGATTTTTCATATTTATGTAGGCTAGAAAATAATATGTTTTGTAATATTTTAATCCTTTACATTTATATCCTATATCTATTCTTATTATATCCTATATATATCCTTAATATTAAATTTTTTTTCATATGTAAAGATAGGCCTATTTGCCTATTGCTCTCTTGTGCGTATTAAGCAGTGCGTAAGCGAGGCGCAACTCTGCGCTGGAGTTTAGACCGGGTTTGTTTTGGTCTAATGAAAAATCTATTTTAGTTTGTCAAAATAGCAACGTGCCAGCAGTGCGCCTCAGAACGCCTTCCTTTTTAGACCAGAACACCTATGGGCGTACATATGAGCGCTAATGCATTTGCTATTTAAACAGCGTAGCGCAACGCCTCAAAACGACTCTTGCGCCAAGCTGAAACTACCAAAAGAAGAAACACAGTTTTACAAAGTGACTTTTATTAACATATTAGTAGTTTGAGACAATAATGCAATAATGCAATTCAAAAGCCTAAATAACTACATGAATCATGTTATATGGGAAAACTGTTAATTTACAGACATTTCTTACAGTGTATATAAACAAGCACATTCATCCAATAGTGAAGAGTAATGATGTAGTATTAGGGTCTTTCTAAATGTTTCATTTTTAACTACTACTTGAATGACAGCTTTCTGTTTAGTTGTAATAACTTTGTACTTTGTACAAGGTGAGGGATAACATGTTTTGCATAGTAATATTTTATATGGTGAAATTACAAACATGAAATGCGCAATCTAACCATGAAATAAAATGAATAACAAGAAATTTTATAAACATCAAATAATTGTTCTTCGTTTATCTTCTCAAAATTTGCAGTCTGCATTTTGCTTTATTTGAATAAAATGGGGATAATGGCAATCCTGATAAAAAAAAAAAAAAAAATAAATAAAAAATAAAAAATAAATAAATAAATAAATAAATAAAAAAAATAAAAAATAAATAAATAAATAAATTTTTTAATTTGCCTTGTGAATGATCAAAGGGTCAGGATACAGTGTCCAGTGAAAAGATACAAAAATTTCATGATATCTTTTAGATAAACTTTTATTTACATCTAAATGTGTGACATTTATAAACATCCCATGACTACCAAATCTTTGTTGTCCCAAGACTCTTGTGAAAAAGTACTGTTCTTTGACATTCACCTACAATACTATGAAGAAAAAAAAAAACAATTTAAAAATAATAAGACATTTTCTGTCCTGTTTTGACCTCCCTCTTTAGAATTCCTTCATAATTGGTGTGGTGGATTGGCTTAGAAGTAAACATCCACTGGTGGCAAACAATCTGTAAAAAGAAAGAAATAATATTTGCCACGTAATAAAAACAGTTATTCATACTTGTGTGGTTTAATATTCAAATGCAATAGTCAGCACAGTGTCTGTTGAATTGTAAACTGTTTGTAAACAATTCTGTGGTAAAATCAAGTAAACAAAGTACCAAGACCTTACTGATGCAGTGTGCATCTGATTCTCATTCTAATGTTGGTATCAGATGCAATGCAGAAGCATTTTTCCCAACCCAGGATCATTGCATATGCTACCCAGGTTTACATTTTTGGGGACAGCAAAATACGTGGTACATCTACTTGCAGTATTTGGTTTTGTAAATCCACAAGTGGCCACTGTGTACGCCTTTTGATGATCTCAAATTTCTATTGCGTGTCACCTGCTCTCGTAAATTCAACAGAGGACGCAATTTACACTTGAGAGCTAACCAGGTCAGCTTGCTGTTGACTGACTGACTGCCTGATTGATTTTCTAAAACCAACCAATAGTGTTTTCAAAAACAATCTAGAAAAATTAAAACCATCGTGGCCACATGATTTCACCAGGTTTCTCAATATGCATTCTTCAGCGATCTTACGTCCTCTTGTTTTAATGTAACGTCATCACCAACTATCAAAGCTGTCAAAGCCATTTCCTAAACTAAAGACCGTAAGAACGGAGGATGTGTAAAAGTTTCCAGATGTGTTCTTGATATTGAGGACGCATGGATGCAGACTTGAGCACCGAACTCGCTCTAGAAGTCCCAGTAGTCAATGCGACTGGAGGTGGAAAGTGCAGCATTTTATATCGGTTTATTATTAAAGTTCAGAGAAATCACTTTTTTTTTATCTCAGGAGTTTTCTTAAATGAGATGGTGAAAGTAAACATTGACAAAAAAATCTTTATAAATGCCTAAACACGTGTTTATGCATTTTTCGTGGGGTGTTAAGGCTGTTTATTTGATGAAATTTGTATTGTTTGAAAAGGGGAAAAACAATAAACCGTCAAATGTGCTGTACCTCTGGCCGCATAATTTGCACTCTCCAGAAATGTAGACAGGGGTATGTATCCACAATGGGTTGTGTTGGTTTTTCTTCAAAATAGCTCTGCACATCATCTTCTTTTCTTTGAAGCATCTTTATTATACGATTTCTGTCATTTACTGTACCCAATAAACACTCAGTGATGTTGAAGCAGTGATGTCTTCTTCTACAAAGACCAAGTTTAGCCATAGTATTACATAATATACTGGATAATTTCATAACATGCCACTTTGGCGGACTGGCTACGTTAAAATCTGTTTTACATCTAACAAGAAACTTTAAACTCAAATTTAAATTTTTTTTCAGTTTTTTTTCAGTTTATAAGTCAAAAGATCAACTTTAATTTCTTATTTTTAGTGCACAGTAACACCACATAAACATTTTCAGACCATTAAAAACCAAAAGCAACACAACTTCTAAATCTTGTTTTTGCTTGAGAGGCAACAAAAGAAACGTAGGTCCTTAGGTAGCTCTTACTCACTTAGCATTTTTGTTGATACGATCACAAGTGGACAACTT